GCACCATTTGCAATCCACCGAGTTGTGTTTCAACTTTGTAATGTGTCTATTTGTCGAGTCGTGTTTCGACTATCTGATCTGTTTCTTCGTCAAGTTGTGTTTCGAGTCTCTGATTTGTTTTGGATCTTTCTGTTCTCAATTTCAAATCTAAGGTCCAAATGTGCTTGTTGATCCGTTACTGATTTCTATTGGCTCTTCCAAGGGCCTCCTGTTTGATGATCGAATTTCTCGATTCAGGTTGATGATGAAGTTTTTTTTTACTTGATCATGTTTTGTTACTCAATCCTATTGGATGATGGAACTTTCAATTACTCCATCATGTGTGATGATCGAGTTTTTTAGTTACTCGATCCTGTCTATTCCGGAGGCCTGATGATTTGATGTTATGCGTGACTGCTTTGTTTGAGGCATTGGTTTCTGAGGATGGTTAATTTGTTGTTGCTTTCTTTTGCTCCTGCTTTGTTCTTCAAACTTGTTCAAGAATCGGCCTCACTTCATTGGAAGCAAAGAGTGTCGGGGTTAGCCTTTTCACTATTCTTTTCACTCTAAAAACAATCCTATCATTTTAATTTTGGGCTCAAATAAATGGATTGCATTAAAAATTGCCATTTTCATTAACTGCAGAATAGTCATCTTGCCCTATTAGGTGCATCTCAAATATCTAGTAGAAAAAAGTATTTTGAAGTTGGAAGATCTTCCAATAGATCATCTTTAATTTCAAGATATATAGATATAAAAAAAAAAAAACAGAATTTCTAGTTCTAAAAATGGTGGTTATAACAAGTTATCTGGACCGTTATTTTCAAGTATTTATAAATATATTCGATATGCATTGTTTTTTAAAATTTAAATTTTATAATTAAAATTAAATATGAGTTTTCAAGTTATTGTAAGGTTTCCTAAACCCGAACCACATCGTTTAGCAAAGTTTTTTAAATCCGAACCGCAACGTTTAGCAAAATTTAGAAGTGCATCTTACTTTATAGTGGTGGGCACCTTGTACAAATCTCACCCCTCTTTTTTTAACTCCAAAAGAACTAATTTAATCGTTAGATATGCCTCCAAAATAAATAAGGCAAGGAGCAATAAAGTTTCTAGTGATAACTGATAAAGTTGAAACTAAAAACTCAATATTAAGAAGGGGAAATAAAATTGGGAATAACCTATAGAAAGGTAAAGATGGGGTTCGAAAATTGAAAATAGAAATTCAATATTGAGAAGAAATATTGATGGAATGATGCTTAGAGTTTAGCTCATCTCGGAGAATAACATTATATCAGAAGCACAAAATTTTGGTACTAGATGGATTTTGGTGAACAAATTTTAAAATTAAAGGTAGAGATTTGGAAAATATGGATAGTAAAAAATTAAGTTAAAAAATTATAAATATTTTGTATTCGGCTGAAAAACAGAAAATTGGAAGGAGACTTGGAAGATTACGGATCTCCAAAAATTGGGAATCTTTTAAGTAAACCCATTTGAATTTTACCTCTAATTCCTTATTGTGACTAAAACAGTAATTTTTTCTTCTTTGCAATGGTGCTCTTGGTCTAAAGTAAAAAAAGAATTTTCATTAAATAACTCTTCCTCCACTTCTACTTTTTATAGAAATTTGGCTTTTAGAATGAGCTTTTTTTGGGAATATATTGGTGACTACTTTAAAGAGATACGGTGATTTTTGTGCAATAAATTCATTGGGAACACTTACATATTCTTGATTCACTGCGACTTCCAGCAAGCTTATATTGAATCTAAAATTTCAAATGTTTCAAATTAATGAAAATAAAGGAAGTTTCAATAAAATTTGGATTTTACATGATATGAAAATATGGAATAAGTCTTTTTGGGGAGTTTTATGAAAATAAAATAAAATATGCATTTATATCAATTTCACAAAAAAAAAAATGCGAATTTTGAATATCTTTAAAAAAAAATAAGAATTTTTAACTAAGTTAAAAAATAAATTTTTTGAAAATCTTTAAAAAGGAATTCTCTTTTATTAACTTGAAAAATAAGAGGTGAAGTGGTTTGACAATCCAGATATATCCAGCATGCTACTGATAGAGTTTCCCAATCATGCTTTTAGAACATCTTTATATATTCTAGAATGACCATTTCATTTCTTATTAATACCTTTATAAAGTTATTTAGATTTCATTACATGCTCTCACAATAATGGTGTAATTATTACTTATGAAATGTAAGTGTTAGGGCAATGCAAGCAAAATGATCTAAAATATTATATATAAAAACTAAGGTAGATTATGACTCATGCTATTAATGGAAAAAATTTAGTCAATAAAAAGATGTCACACAGAAAGATGAGAAAGGAAGAATGACTTGGAGAGGGATAAGTTAATACTTCGAGTGGGAGAAACCTGTAAAGGTTTACTAATACTTGAAGTAGAAGCGTACTTATATTTGTAAGTATAGTGACTTACGTAAACCTTAGGCAAGAAAAATAAAAATATTTTTATTTTTTAAAATTATTTTTTAATTTTGAAATATTTTTTAATTTTAAAATAAAATATTATTCATTGAATAACGATGCTTCTAAAGAAAGAAATGCCAAATTCCAAAAACAAAACATGTGTAAAAAAAGGACACGCTATTTGACAGTCTATAGAAGTGTTTGCACCTTTTTTAAGAAGTTGACATGTTTGTCGGTATCCACCAAACATCGATATGTGTAAGACCCTCGGACATGCAAATCCACGTTTCATAGCTTGTCTAGATACATGATCCTTAATCTTTTCCATTAAAAATGGGAGCTCAACTTCACCAGCATACTCGTCGGTCTCTCAAGAAATGAATCATTTCGATAGATATTTTCTGAATCTAAGTAAAGCCCTGCATAAACTTATCTGTTGATAGCTCTTTACTGCCCCACACACCCCAAGAATCTTCCATTGCACTTTCTTATATGAGTCAGCTGAAGTTAAAGATTTGAGTAGTCAGATGAATCCAGGTTAGAGGTTGAGACAATACTTGATCCTTTCTACGGTGCCCACAAATGAAGTGTTTCATTTCAGATCAATTCTTTGCTGCAATCGCTTCAATTTACCACCTCGATGAAAATTTGTAATACACCCAATTGAATTCCTCCTAGCTGACTTCCCTGTACTCAAAGTGAATGTCCAAGTGCTCTCCCCAAAAGCACTCGCAAAGCTGCTTTTGGACAGCAGCAAAACGCCCTCAACAATAAGGGCTTATACATTGCGCAAGTGAAACCATGCAAACTTATTTGGGAGAGACTTCCTGGTTCACTATCAGGCTTAAAAATCCATTCAACCTCTGGTGGTGCATTCTGAAGGTTGACGATGATGAAGAGAGCAACTTCCCAAAAAAGCAAAGCAAAGGAGAGAGAGAGAGAGAGAGACTCTTGTTCTTGAGTCCAGCAAAACCTCAACCCACTTAAAAGAAAATTTATCAAACAACATCTAATTGTTTAGCAGTTCACTAATTTATCAAAATTTGCTTAAGATATCCATATCCTAATTCATAGTTGTTCATCCTTTATTTAGAATTTTTGAAATTGAATCAAAACAAATGAGTAGGAGTGATAATAGGCTGGACAGCCCCGCTTGGCCTGGTAAGCGTGACCCTAATAAACTAGACCGTGGACCCCAAAATGCAGTCCGGTGGCTGGGCCAAACCCAAGCTCAATTGCTGAGACTAAGACCCATTAGCCTAATTGGGCTGAGCTGGGCTTGGGCCACGACAGGGCTGGCCTGGATCACCCGGCCCAGCCCTTGTAGGGTCAAGGGTCTAAGCTGCCTCCGCCCTTTGGACCAGCCTGAGCTTGCTATAGGTACAAGGGTTGAGCTAGGGCTAGGACTAGCCCACCCTGTTGCTAGCCTTAGAAATGAGTATGATTTTAAAAATTAAATCAAAACAAAAGAATGAGGCATTAAATATTTCATCTTTCAAGTGGCTTGTAGAAATGGAAAAAATATACAAAGAGACCATTTACTTTTAGTACAAGAGGTCACATACTCTCTCGTACATCAAATTTCAAATCAAGTGGTTGTAATAGTGTTATTAACTAGACTCAAACTTGAAAAAAATAAAAAAAACAAAAAAAATTATCATGACATACCCCAAGTCATCAAATTTGATATCTAATGACTATAGAAATAAAGGAAAAGATGGGATTAACCCAGTAACTCATATGAACCATATGAGCTCAACGTCTTAGATTGATTCTAAGCCGATCTGACAATCATGAATGTCCGGTAGTGTTTAAATTTTATTTATTTTTCTACAAATCCAAATCACTTGAAATTTTAGACATGTGTTTATAAAAAATAGGTGAATCTTAAAAAAATATCAAAAGAATATTTTACATGAAATAAATTGATCAAAATACCCCCAAAAAGTTTTGAGAGGTATTTTGGTCATTTTATTTTTCGCCAATAATTTTTTTTATATTTTTATTACGTACGTCTTGATGAGAAGAACACACACCTATATTTTCAAGTGATTCAGATCTGTAAAAAAAATATAAAATTCAAATACAACCGGACATCCGTGATCGTCAGATAGGTCCAAATTCAATCTGAACCGTTGAACTCATAAGTTCATATGAACTAGTGGGCTAATCCCATCTTTTCCTTAGAAATAATTGTGTCACATCCCCATAACAAAGATAAATGATCCTATAGTACATGACCCATAGAAATTATAATAAAGTAAACACGTTCTAGGTTTGGGAAACAATCTCGACCTCAATTGTATCAAAGCAACTTGGATCACGGTCATTTCCTTTCATAAGAATTGTTTGCTTGCATGTCTGCACCATCAATCCATTCTCTAGGATCATATGATGACAAACACTTTGGGGTCTGAGCACTGAAATCAGAACAGAGTCTAATGCAAATGTCAATTCTAAGGAACAAAATCAACACCCATATGCCCCGAACATAGCCAGAAGATTACGAAGAATGGCTTTTTCTTGGCTATATATAACAGAAGCATATTCCATCACCATCTCTTTGAGGTATTAAATAATTATGCTCCAATTTTTCATTTTTTGAGAATCCAAGTCACAATGATTTCATACAAACCAGTCCCCAAGGTGCAAAACACCTAATGGACCAAACCAAAACACAATCGGCATAAACAAATAAGCATCTACAAATGGACATCTCCTATGCACAGCGACCAATGATCTGGTCAATAAATGAGTCCAGCAGTTTTGCGCCTATCCACGAATAGATGCCTGAGGAACAGCTGGTAAGCCCAATTCGTCCTCCGCCTGAAAAGTAGCCATGTATTTTAATTAAGAAATTAGTCCCAAAATTTCAGTATCATAGTTACACCAAACCCACCAAAAAGAGAGAAAAATAGTGACCTTTTTCCCTCTTGCAGTAAAAATTGATGGTGTGCATGTTGGGGATACCTGAGCATTGGTTTTGATTGGCATCGCATGACCAGATGGAGCCTAGGGTAATTGAGTTCAGAGTCAAGATCAGATTCCTTGTCGAGTTGGAGATATGTGGGCACGCCTTGAGACTCGGTTTCCAAACTCATGTCAGCGTCCAAAGCGTCCAGCTCTGAGTAAAAAATAGTTGTTGAAAAGAATGTCAAAAGCCTGAATATCAAAGCTCTCTCTCTCTCTCTCTCTCTCTCTTCACACCTGCTTGCGCACATACATAGATATCCATGTAAACACACAGATAAATGCACAGCAAGAAATAACAGCAATTGCCCAAAATGATGGTCACCCAAACCATCCCACACACCATGCCAAAACCTATTTCACAACTGAGTTTTCAAAGTATTTTATCTTTGTAACATAGGTTAACATTTTACATGTAAGTACTATTTCTTAAGCTTCAGTTCTCTCCATTCAAATTCTTTAAATTCATATTTATTGCTTGATGTTGATCCACAAAGCCCCAAAGTGATTTAATGCAGAGCAGCATATGATAGGGAGTGCCAAAAAGGCACATGCAGATACAAGTTGAAGATAGTTACCGCCCATGAGTTCTTCCTCATCAACATCATCAGGGATGTTGTAGCTCCTACCAAGTGCTTCTTGGATTCCTGAACTCACATCCATTAAATCCATCATCTCATCTTGCATGCTGTGCACAAAGCACCAGCATTGGGGAGGTCAGCTTAGATATACACTGTTTTAGTGTGCGTTTGTGCTTGCAGCTTTTACGCGTACATGCATACGTATGAGAATACGAGAGATTTTAAGTACATCAGAGATAATTGTCATGATTCAAAGCAAACCATCATTGAAATTAAATCTTTTCAGTTCCTCCATAAAATGAGTACAAAGCGCAAAGAAGACATCAAAACTTACATCTATGTCTTGGATCTTCACTGTTTTCATCATTCTTTTCAACTCTTTATTTGCAGATTTCAAGGCTGACATCTGGACAGTAAATCAGAGAGTGATTTAAGCTCATATATCTTTGAGAAAATATCTCTATAGCTTCTCAACTTCAAAAAAGAACGAGGTTTTAAAACAAACCGTTTGTTGAGCATGTTTAATCCCTTCAGCTGCAAATGCAACCTGATCCAAGTTAAAAGTCTGATTATAAAGCATGTCACGTTGTTCTTCATACCTGACGAGCAGACCAGTTCAAAACAAGTTCAAGTTCCGACAATAACAATGAAGAGGAACAAAAAGTAAGTCCTAAAATAGATACAACAAAAAATATCTAAAGCAGCTTATTACACAGGGAAAATTATAACTCTTTTTGCATTGGACTCTACCCAACACCGTTCAAATGAGAAGAAGATCCATCTAACAAAATGCATGGCCATGAATGCTTACATTCTTTTTTTCTTAAGGACACTCATAGCTGGGGCTTTGACTGCTTCTTGAGCAGGTCCAGGCCTTGTCTTCTTGATTTGTTCTTTGTACCTATTAAGTTCAGCATCAAGCTTTTTAAGCTTCTCATCCACAGTATCCCCTCTTTTATTTATCTGCGAATTTCGCAAGTATAGGCCTCAATGAGATACAGAATACAGGAACCTTACATACTGAATCCCTGAACTATCTTAGTTCACTTGCAATAAAGTTATAATCTTCGAGCTACCTCAATAAGCATCTGAACTATATCTTTGTGTTCCTTTGAGGCCCAACATCAGCTAGTATTAACATTTCAAGTCTAAATTGACAAGTACTTCTGATAATAAAAATTTCAAGATAGCATAACAAGTTCATAAAGCTAGGATCTCTGTCCACCATCTTGGGCCTCAGCCTTGACTCAATGAGTGGTAAGTTAAGGTGGCTCAATGCTCCATCAATCAACTAATCAATTCATTTATGATAATGACTTAGAAATCTTATTAATTTTTATTTAAAGATGAGGCATGACATGAAATGAGAAATCAAGAAACTCAAAAAATAAAAAAACTGCTATAGTGATGGTCAAAGTGATTGAGAAATTCTGTGGAAAATTATGATTTATCTTACAGAGCTTAAAAAATCAATTAGAATTTGCATGAATCCCCCCATCATGCACAGGAAACCACTTCTAGATTCTGATTCCACTAGTGAATAACTGCATAGACTGAATTAAGGACTGTGATTCGATGGAGTCCTTCAAGTTGATCAAAACCTCAATCTTTGTTGGAGTTGCACTCGTGTCTTCTATGAAATTCGACTCAAGACATTGATCATGTCAAGCGAATCAGAGTCTTATTTATCACTAAAAAAGTGAATTAGATCCTTAAAGCAGTCTGTTATGATAGGATTAAGTCTCCAAACTACTTAGGATGGTTTGAAGCATTTTTAGTTTAGTATAATATGAAGTCGCAGCGTTGAAATGCTATCATAACTTGAAATAAACAAGTTCAACCAGTGGACTATAGCTCGAAAGTTTTGCATACTTTATTATAATTCTTTCAATGTCACTGAGGGATAATTTAGGAGTTTCTAAGATCACAATATTTCATTTGTCAAAATATCAAGATACATATTCAAAAGAAACAATAATACTTAAATCATGGTGGACCGCAAGGCTATTGCCACAGAAATAATTATACTTTTGCACCAAGATTCAAATCATCAACCCTCAGCTGCCACTTTGAAGATTCGTTACCTCCTCGAACAACTGGAAAGACCTTGAAAGTTCAAGTCTCACTTAACACCATGCATTTAAAGGAATTACAGACTTAAATCAGTGGTTCCAATTCCAAATGACCCAATTGCCTAAATGGTTCTGAAAAAAGACCAACCATTCCGATATCATCTTCCAAATTCATGGCCATTTATATTAGATAAGCACCATTCAGATCAAAACTTATGAGAAAGATCATTGTTTGGCCTCAATCACTCATTTTTAGGGACTAAACCAGAAATCACGATTGCAAACACAAAGGCAAAAGCTAAAACGAACATAGATGAATAGAAAAAAAAATTCGACACCTGATTTCCTTGATTTGTAAAGATTGAGCACAAATTGTAGCCAACAAATGAAGTTCACAAGGAACGCAGAGGGAACCAGAATTTAAGCAAAACAAACTGCAGAGAACAATATCTCATCGAAATAAATATACAAAAAACTGTTGTAACCCACAAAACCCATCAATTTATTTTCCAACCTGATAATCAAATCTCGATCAATTATAACATCACCCAACTATTCTAGTTATTTGAATTGTAAAAAGCCAACCATACTTTTTTATGATAAAGAGACACTTACCCTATCAGAAGCATCTTGAATTGAAGGAGGAGGTTCTTTCTCCTTCTTCACCCCAAAAACCCTCCTCATCCTCTTCCCTTTCAACCAAAACCAACAAGTCAAAATAAATCTCTCTCTCTCTCAGGTGTGAAAAAGAGTTGAGAATTACAGAGACCCAATTATTCAAGAAAGGCGAGAACACCAGACCGTTAGATATGGAATGTTGGTGAGAGAAAGGCCAAAAAAAAACTTAAGAAGGAAGGAAGAGAGAGAAAAGATATACGGAATCATTACGCAATCTTAGAAGAGCGAGGGACTAGGAAAATCTCCTCAGATCAGACAGAGGAAAGGGGACCATGAGAGTCTCTCCTTGGTCTCATACGTAATTTCAATTGAATTTTTGTAATTGCCAAGGAATTGAGGAGGTGTGAGGTGTGTATAGAGCCGAGGCTCTAAACAATCAAAGTAAACCTCCCCTTGAAATAGTGTCGAGAAATGGATGAGAAGGGGTGAGATTTGTATAGACCCGAGGCCGTGAACAATCAAAGTAAAGCACACATTCAAATAGTGTCGAAAAAAGTGGTTTTAGTATTGAAAATATTTGTGATAGCTTTAAAATAAATTTATATATTTAATTATAAAATTTAAAGCTTGAAACGTAATGTAGATCGATATATGAAAACATGAAAATCTTGAAAATTGACGGTCCAAAAATACGTTACAAGATGCACTATTTCCAAAACTTGAAATCCATTTTTTTTTTCTCATGTCCATGTATTTTGATGTCGAAATATCAATTTGACGATATTTGGGCATTAAAACAACCTCTTCTAGTGAAATTTTTGAGGTAGGCTTTGATTTGATTGTTTAAAGCCTCGGCTCTATAAATATATCAATTTTTTTTTTTTTTTGGGCGTCCATATGTGGTGGTCTGCATGACCAAATTGTACCATTTTGGCGTTGACGGACCTAGGCATTTTAAAAAGAGAGAATTGTTTGGTGCATCCAAGCCAGCACCTGTTGCTATAGGGATTGGAGATCTGCACCATAAATAATAGTCATCAAAAGAAAAAGTAAATCAAGGGTTCAAACTTTCTCCAAAAAAAATAAAATTTCATTTTTAGTTTTTAAATTTATTTATTTTTACATATTTATAATCTATATGTTAAAGATTATATATTCCCTGAAAATTAAGATTAAATTTTATTTAAAAAATAAATTATTAAGGGGCCCGTATTTCTACATGTGAGTATGTGGACTCACAGTCCTTAAAATAGTGGATTAGTTATCCAAATTGGCCACCCAAAAAACTGCATCAAATCAATGGTTTGGCCATCTGGATAAGTAGATTGCCTATTTGAATTAGAGAATCAGCCGGTTTAGGCCTCAACAAAATTTCAAAAAATAACTAAAAAACCCTTAAAAAAGTGTTTTTTTAGTTTCCAATTTTTTTTTAGGGTAGTGCATTATGAACTTTTATTATTTTACAAAAATATGTAAATAGTAAGACATCGATCCCATGTCTATATGTCTGTTGACTAGCCGTTCCCTTGATTGGATATCTACTGACCATTGCATTCACATTACTAGAAAAGAAGAGATTACAATCATCATGGTATCAATACATGGTCCAAAATAAAGCATACGACAATTGAAATACAACTTAATATCAAAATGAAAGACAGTAACATCTTTATCGTGTTGGTTCCACTCATGAAACTATCTGGATAATTCATTGAGTTGATCCATGTACGCCTCAAAATCGTTGGTGTCGATCTGACTCTGCTCGAGTCCCCCACAATTGGGGAACTGCGGCTCTCCTAGCCTACTGCTTTCCTACCTGTAAATAAGTGTGGGCTTCACAAGTACTATCAAACTGAGGCAAAATTTGAATATCAGAAATGACCAAAAATAACAAACATTAAGGACAACCAATGAGATGATGTCTGGATAGGCTTCATCATCGATAGTGGAATACCTTCTTTTCTTGTTTTTGAGGAAAGGCGAGCTTCATTAAGATAATGAAAGTTACAGGGTGAACAAAAACAAAAGAAAAAGAGACAAGGAAAGGGGAAGAGGAGAGAGAAAGGCGATAGAAAATAGAAAAAGTAACCCTAAGTCTCAGTTAAGAGGTGGCCTCATTAGTCAAGGAATCCGCCACAGAATTAAAGCCATGAATAACATGAGAGAAATAGACCCCAAACATAGAACGCGACATAAGAATTTCGTCCATGAGGCCACTCAACCTCCAAGGGGTGGAGTCCGAGCGAGAGTACCAAGAAATGACATTTGCCAAATCTCCCTCAATGATAACCCTATGGAAAAAGGGATTCAAAAGAGCTATACCCTTTCAAACAGCCTAGAGCTCAACTTCATTGGCCTCCCATTGATGCAGCCCCTTGAGTATGTCCACAAAACAGAGCCCAAGTGATCTCAAAGGTGACCCCGATAGCTTGCAATGTGACCCTTTACGCTACCATCACAATTAAATTTAACCCAACCAACGAGCGGCGCTTTCCAGATGAAGTGTTTGGTGGGGCAATTGGGTTTGAAAGTAGCAGATGTGGGTAATGCTAGTAGATCAAGTCTCTGGGCACAACTTTAAGAGGAAGAAAATAATAAACCTAGAGAGATAATAGATCGCTTGATAGCCTCGATAAAAGAAGGCAATTCTCTACTGCGACCTTCAAAAGTCCTCAGCGCACTCTTCGTACGTTCCAAGTGACTACAACAATTGAAATCCTCCAAAGCTGAATTCCCAAAAGAGAGAAAGGAGGGGTCCACAGTTGTAACCAGGCATGTGTCTCAACATGCTTGGGGCCAATCCAATTAGCGGAACCCAACAACTAATCCCATAAGGCTGAGACAAAAGTGCAGTGGATGAATAGATGGTCAATAGATTCCTCGTCGCATTTGCATAGCAAACACACATTGGTAAGGATGAACCCCAGTCTCCTCAGCCGATCAATACTAAGTAGCCTCTTATATCCTAGCATCCATAAAAAGGTTTTAACTCAATGAGGAACTTTACACTTCCAAAACTTAAGTAAGGAAGGCATGTCATCGATATAGCGGTCTCTAAAGATTGCATGGTACAGAGACGGGGCCGGGAACTGCCCATCAAGTTCCGAGGACTAGATAATCCTGTATGGTTTCTTGGGATAATAGCAAAAGGTATACAATGATGCTAGCAAGGTTTGGAACTGTTCCGTAACAGTAGCATCAACCCTTTGGGTACTAATCCTGATATCCCAAACCACTTGATATCTAGAAACTGTTATCATCCTTGCAAACATCTCCTATTTCTGCATAGATCTATTATAGAGGTCAGGATATGTGAGTTTAAGTGGATAGTCGCCCATCCATTTAGCATGCCAAAACCTAGTTTAGGCTCCATCCCCTACCAAAATTCTCAATTAGGCTAGAAAAAGTGGTCTAACTTGTTGAATCCCTTTCCATACTGGTGAAATTCAGGACAGTCTTGGACATCTTTTAGCAATAAAGCCATATGGGTCCCTCCCGTATTTACCAAGGATGACCCTTGCCCAAAGTTGATCCATATTGTTGGACATGGTAATCTGAGCTCTTGAGATAAGCTCATACAACTTTAGGAAGACCCATACATTCTGAATATTCTCATCGCTGCCTTTCATCAAGATCAAGATATCATCAGCATACTGTAGGTGGCTTAGAATAATCCCATTTGGCCAGGCCAATAAGCCATGGATAAGCCCTCCATCCATCGCACCCTGGAGCATTTTGCTGAAAGCATCAACTACCAGTGTAAAGAGAAAGGGTGAGAGGGGATCTCCTGACGTAAACTCCTTGTAGCCTGGAAGTATCCTCTAGCTTTGCCATTAACAAGCACCAAAAAATGAACCTAAGATAAATACCCATTTATCCATATTCTCCAGATAGGCCCAAAGCCGATTAGCTCCATGATTTTAAGGAGGCAGTTTCATTCCACCCTATCATAAGCCTTTTCGAAGTCCAATTTTAACATGATACCTTTGGACCCCGAGGTATTTGTCGAATGAATAGTCGCTTGAGTCAAAAGAATTCCATCCATAATAAAGCGGTATTTAATGAAGGCCGTTTGTGGACCTTCAATCACCTTGTTAAGAACCAGATGAAGCCGGTTGGCTAGTAGCTTAGTCATGATTTTATGTAAGGCTGAAAGCAAGCTTATCAGCTTAATATCACGAAGGACCTGGATAGTGTTCTTTTTGGGGATCAGGGCTATAAAAGTGGAGTTGATAGCGCTATTGATAAAACCATCAATAAAAAACTTGATTACCCAAGACATTATATCATCTTTTACAACTTCCCAGAATTCTTGAAAAAGGCAAGGGAAAAACCATCAAGGCTTGGCGCCTTATCCCTTAGTAAATCGAAAACAGTCTTTCTAAGTTCATCAATTGTAAAAGGTATTTCAAGGTTGGCCGTCGAGGAAGGGGATAGTTTCTTGAAAGGCACACTGTCTATGACAAAATAAAATTGGGGTTGAGGAGAAACCCAGACGAAAATGTTCAACAATCACATTCTCTATAGCAACCCGATTGTCCATATTGACCCGGGGATGGACAAACCGCTGATGCAGTTTGATCGATGCCTGGAATTAGCAATGGCATGGAAATATTTGGTGTTCATATTTCCGGCTTTAACTCATATGAAACTGGATCTTTGGTACCAAAAAATCTCCTCCATCTTTCATAAGTGGTCTAGGTCCAACTTCTTTGCCCTCTTCTCGGAGATTTGGTCTGGAGATAGTGCAGTCTCCGACTGCTCCAAGGCGTTCAGTTGCAGGATCTCCTACTTCAGAACTTTTTATCTGCAAGATCAACAAATTCCTCTTGCCTTGATCTTTAAGTTTGAACTTAAGTCCCTTAAGTTTATTGGCGAAAACATACCCAGGCCATCTAGAAATGCGGATAGAGTCTTACGTACTCCTAACCATAGGATAAAGGGACTTCTCTTCCAACTACATAAGTTCAAAATGAAAGGGAGAGAATCCATAATAATAAGAACGTCATCCGAGGCCATTTGAGGGGCAGCCTTAACCACTGTTTTGGGATACTGAATATCCCAGTCCTTGGTTACTAGAAACCTCCCCAACTTGGATATTTTCGGGTCAACCGAAGAATTGTTCGACTATGTAAACTTGGTCCCCACCACATCGTAATCAAACAAACCATGAGAGTTAATGAAATTGTCAAACATAAGCATCTAGGGATTGAAGACAGAGGGGGTAGATACTTCATGAGGTCCCCTAACTAGGTTGAAATCCCGAACACCGCACCAAGAGGACCCACATGAAGTGATGATACTTGGGATGGAGGCTAAAAACTTATCCTTTT